AAAGAACTAGGACTGGAAATCCCATTTGACCCCGCTATTCCACTGCTGGGGATCTTCCCCAAAGAATTAAAAGAATCATACCACAGTGATATATGTGCGCTCATGTTCATAGCAGCACAGTTTGTGACAGCTAAAACTTGGAAACAGCCCAAATGCCCATCAACTGGAGACTGGGTAAAGAAAATGTGGTTTTTTAATAAAATGGAGTACTACTCAGCCATAAAAAATGAGAAACTGGGTGTTATTTTTAAAGTGTTAAGTATTACCTGGGCGTGGTGGTGCACACCTGTGATCCCAGCACTTGAGAGGCTGAGGCAGGAGGATTGCTGCAAGTTTGAGGTCAGCCTTGGCTACATAATGAGTTCAAGGCCAGCCTGAATTACAAAGTGAGATACTGTCTCAAACAAAGGAATGAACGAACAAACAAACAAAATGTCATGTATTAGAATCAAACAAGGGAAAACAAAATATCCGTTTAAGATGTGTTGGCAGTGTGTCCTTGGTTTAAAGTTCCATTTACTGAGTTCTTACCAACTTTTCCTCTCTCAATTTTATTAATATTAAAAACATCCTTATTGAGAAGCTGTGAGCTAATAGTTAACAATGTGACTGGAAGTGAGAGACTAAGATAGTTATGTCTTTAGAAAGGAACTTCTAACTTTTCTTTTCCCAAATTCCCAGTGGAAACACCATGTTGTGCCACATTGTTGGCTAAAAGAGCTTATATTCAGTAAAGAACGGTAAAATAAGTATGACGTCCATATAGTGGAATCATATGTGGCTGTTGGATGTGAAGTAGATTCATAAATATCGACATGGAAAGATATCCATGCTGAAACATAGAATAAACAGCAAGTTGCACGATGAGATGTAATGTACAATTCTGTTTTGAAATATGCATTTGCTATTATATGTTTAGAAAATAAGATTGTCAGACCATAAAGGGATTTGCTTAAAATGGTTTATTTATATTGTGTGGAAGGGTGTAGTATTATACTACAAGGAGACTTATATATTTTCTATTTTATATATTTTTCTGTTGTCTGGATTTTTATGAGAATGTAGTCTGAATAAATACTGATATAAAGAGAGTGTATGTTGGCACAATCCTTTGAGTCCTTCATATGCTGAATATAATTGTTGCTCAGTATAATCAATTCTGCCATTCATCTTGAACAGACAAAAGCCAGAGAACCAATTAATTAACTTATAAATTATATGCCTTCTACATTCAAAGCTGTTTACAGTATTAAAAGACCTGAAATGGAACAATAAAAATAAATGTGTAAACTAAAAAAGATAAATTGTTTAAAAGGAATGAGATAATAGTACCGGGAATATGAAATGACTTTACTGAACAGAGTGCAGAGTTTAGCTCTGAGCTTTCTGGTATTTAAGAGAAAAAGAAAAATATGTTGACTCTATTTATCCTTCTTATTTCTACCAAAGTAAGAACACTGTAAGAAATTTCTGGTGTGGCATTTTGTGTAGGTGACATTGAGTGACACATTAGATGAGATTTAATTTTTACAAAAGACATAGAAACCTTTGATTGAATATTTTCACTATTTATTCCCTATAAAAGTAAACCCAAAATATCAAGTCACAGCCCATTCACTGAAAACATCTCTTCTTCAAGGAAAATGAGGAAATATAGTTAGGTATATGTTTTCCTGATGATTCAAATAAATCATTTTCACACCGGGCAGTACATCAGAATCAACTGGGGAGCTTTTAAACTAGGTGTGATAGTGCACACCTGTAACCTCAGCACTCTGGGAAGCTGAGGCAGGAGGATCATAAATTCAAGCTTATCCTGGGCAACTTGGTGACTTAATGAGATCCTGTCTCAAAATTTAAAAAAAAGAAGAAAAAAAGCTGGAGTGTAGGTTAGTGCAAAGGCTCTGAATTCAATCCTGAGTAACAACCACCACCACCACCACAACAACAAATCCATGGGGAGCACTTGCATATTAAGATTCCATGCATCTTCAGAGATTCTTATTCCAAAAGTCTGGCGTAGAGCTGGAGGACCTGCAGTTGTTAATGGTCCTGCATTTTCTCATGCAAATCTTGCTTTGGGAACCACTCATATGTATACAATAAGCATAGCATGTCTTCCTGTAGGATAAGTTTTATTTGAAGGTAAATAAGTTAAAATATTTTTGTATGAAAACAGATGAAGTACGAAGCATGATTCTAATTTTGCATTAATTTCTGAAATGAAATAAGAGCCTTACACATTTAGTGCACATGAGAGTTCATTTGGGACTATATTTCCAGACTTGGAGGAAGTAGCTTTAATATCTTACTCTTTTAAAGGATATAGGAGAAAGGGTTTTAAAGTATTGAAGAAAATGTATCAGTCAGGGATCAGTGCTTATAAAGCTCTTGGAAAGGCAATAATATAGAGGGCCAGAAAGGACACCACCAAAACCATAACCCAACCTCAAAACCTCTGCCAATGCTGCCTGTACTACCTGTCACCTCCACAAAGCTCACAGCTGACTAGTGACACTCAAGGAACAGTATCAGCAGCAGCAGTGGGAATATGACATTTTCCTTCCTTCCCCCTTCCCTGTCACGTGCAAGTGTACCTCACTGGCCAAATGTACTTCACATCCAGAATCCTAGCTGCAAGAGAGCCTGGGAAAGAGACTCTCCAGCTTACCCTCCCTGTGGTGTAGGAAGGTACATTGTAGAGGGTCCTGAGGATCCTGAGAGCCAAATGATGCTGTCAAGCATAATAATCAGTCAAAAGTGCCAAGCAGTTGGATCAACTCAGCTAAGGAGGGTACCAGAATTCACCAGACACAGAAATAATCCCATCTACTTGTAAATCTGAGTGAAATACTCTTTCCAACTACAGGCTAAAGTGGAAATTTATATCATCCTTTTTTCAGGTTTTATTTTTATTACTACATGTTTGTAGTACATCATGAATACATTCCTTGGGATTGGTACCTGTACTTAACACATACTAATTATTCCCCACCCCTTCCTGCCCTTTCCCTACTCTCTTGGTCCCCTTCCCCTTTTCCAAAGACTTATTTCTTTATTTCCTGTTATAGTGATACCTTGGTTTACAAACTCAATTCTCTCCATGATTTTAGTCGCAAACCAAACTGAATAAGAACCAAATAAAATTTCCCCATAAGGTCAACATTGAAGCTAACCATCGAATTTGATTCAGTTCTCGTCCAACTCAGTTTACCACCAGAATCATAGAAAGAATCAAGTTCATGAACCAAGATACCACTGTATCTATCTTTTATTTTGCTGTTTGTATTTTTGGTTTCTTATATAAGGGAAACCATCAGATATTTAAACTGTGTGTCTGACTTGTTTCACCTAACATTATGATTTCTGCATCCATTTTCCTACAAATGCCTCAAATGTATCCTTCTTTATGGCAGAGTAGTACTCCACTGTGTAAAAACCACCACATTTTCTTTATCTATTCATCTGTTGATGGGCATAGGCCATTTCCAAGACATTCTATAGATGGCTCTATCCCCTAAATAGCATTTGTTATTGACACTGGCTGCTGATCTGAATACCTTCATCTAGGAACTTGTGAGGCACATTTTTTCCAAATTAATCAATTATGGGAAATATTTCCTTTCAGTAATTGTGTGACCAAATTTGAACTATATGTGAAATGCTATCCCATGCATGTCGTTTGCTCTGTGTGCGTGTGTGGCGGGGCGGGGGGGGGCTTCCAGGAAGGCTTTATTGAACTAGGATACAAGCTGTTCATTCCCTGGATTGTTCAGACACAGGTCATTAAAGTTAGCATCAGCCTGTTCATGGTTTTGTTATGTTGGCCTGGAGTCAGAAGGAGTGCTGC